AAATTTTTGAGAATGTCCAGAAGTCATCAATTAAGTCCTTCTGCGTTTTCCTGCTCACACAGAAACAAAAGACAATAGCGCAATCCACACAGGATAGTTAAATTTGCTGGTCCACACAGTACAGTAATCAATTGGTCCACACAGGACAAATAACAGGCAGTCTACACCGCACGGTATTCCGCTGGTCCACACGGCACAAATAACCATACAGTCCACCCACAACAGTAATCAGAGGATCCACACAGGATAAACTATTCTGATTGTCTACACAAGGCAAAGTTCTGCTAGTCCACACAGGACAAAATTCTGCTGGTCCACACAGGATATTCAGACGATCCACACAGGATACAGTAACCAAATAGTCCACACAGGACAATAATTCACTGGTAAACACAGGACAGTATTCAAATGATCCACACAGGATACAATAATCACACAGGAAAATAATTCGCCTATCTCAGCAGAGCACACATAAGATTGCATACGAGTAGCACATAAAAGACTTCACTTTGTGTAGGCTTAAAAGCTTGCATACCAAATTTTGCTCTCTTAGGAGAGACTTCACAAGCAACACATAAAAACACATACAAAACCTCACTAAATGTAGGTTTAACAAAAACTGGTGTGTGTGACATGTGCCATGCCTCAACACTCTCTGCCTAATCTCTTTCTTTCTCACTCGCACACTCAATCTCTCATTTGCATAACCAGGTGAAATAACTTAATTTGCATTGAGTTTAACAAGTGTGAAGTTAACCTAACAATAAATTCATTCACATTGTGACACTCTGATACTTGAAATTGGTTCTTTAATACTTGATTCCATCTTAGTCTTCGAAAAAACTTTTCACAACAGCCTTCACAACGTTGGCACCAATCTTCTGCATTCTTTGAACGCCTAGGCCAATAGCACCTTTCCTTAGCTAGGCTAAGTGTTTGGTTAACCCCTTGATGACCAGCTTGGTCATAGCACTTCATTCATTAACACCTTAGCTAACATCAAACGCCATCTCCTTTCGTATGCTCCTGTACTATATAAAACACCATTCTTCATTATCATATTATTGAAATGTTTCAACATAAGCATGAATTCCTTGCTCTTTGTCGCTCTTTCTACTACGTTCGTCTTTCTACCTTAATTGACATAGTACACCAACAAACGAATTGATTTATCTTTTAACTGTAATTCTCGCAACTGGGAATCCTCATACCACGGAAATACAGGTAGAGCATCCGTAGCCAACACCTTGGCGTCTCAAGTTGGGTCATTTTCCTGGAAATCTGGTAGCGTTGTTTGACCTGTTACTATCCTACACATCTTTACACTCTGTGGTAACCTAGAAAGCCCATCAGCTGCCTGGTTTGATTTTCCTGATTTGTACCGTACTTCAAAATCAAAGCATGCCTGTGCTTTGCAGAATCAAGCAAAAGAATTATTATCTGTGAATACCACACATTTACACCCTAAGAGATGGTCTCTCAAATTTCTGCTACCGCCAATTTTAATCCTAACAACTCCAGATTCATACTTGAATAACGTTTCCATTTTTCTCTCTGCTCCTCGCAATATACGACTAGCATAGGCTATTACTATTTGCTTTCCCTCTTGATACTGGTACAATACAGCCCCTAGCCTTTTAAATGATGCATCTATCTTTAACTCAAATGGTATGGGAAAAGTCAGAGTATGCTAGAACAGGCTCGGAGATAGTGTCTCCTTTAATGCTGTAATATTTTTGATAATCTCTTAGTCTTAGACAGCGCCCTCTGTGTTTTAATAGCAAATGACATTCTCAAGGTCAGAGATCACACTAAGGTGTAGCATACACACATGTATACATGTGAGATGAGAATAAGTATTCCTGTGATTTATAATCTTTATTGTAGACGTTAAACTGTGTAAGTTCATAATCCTCATTTTATACAGTAAGAAAGCTATGAGTAACCAATGCTATGATATTTAGTGAAGAAGCAGTTGATTAATTTAGATTTAGAGTTTTAGTTACTGTTATGTTATTATGTGACCACCTTTTGAGTATGTAAATCATACTAATATGGGCCTAGTGATGATTCTTTAATAGTTATATCTGATTTGATAGAATGGTAATTAGTAGTATCGTTATCTTGCAGATTTCGAACATTGTGAACTTTGATTATATGTTGTGGATTAAAGGATGTTTAAAAACGTTTAAACGTGTGACACGGGTATTCTTTACATTCGAAATACTGATGTTCTACTGGGCACAGTGAAGTGACAGCAACCGCAAGTCAGCTGATATCGAAGATCAGGTTACTCTCAAGTTAACGCTAACCCTGAATGTGTTGTGATACCAATCTTGAGGAGACTACGCTGAGAGCTGTGCTGAACAGGATAAGTGAGCTACGATATAAATACTTATTTGTTTAGGATTTTAACTTAATCCAGTGAATCAAATATGACTGAACCCGGCGAAAAGAAATTGAGAGGCATTGCAAAGGGGAGGTTTACAAGAATCTGTAATTCTATTCAGGTGGCCGTTGAGCAAAATAAGTCGGTAGAGTATGTGGACATGCTCGGCTGCGACCTGAAAGAAGCCTGGACTGCCGTCAACAATCGGCATGAAGCAGTAGTTTAGATGTGTATAAGAGACAGCAATAATAAAGATCACAATAATAACAATAACAATAATAACAATATCATTAATAACAATAACAATAATAAAACAAACTACTTATATAAATTTTTGAGAATGTCCAGAAGTCATCAATTAAGTCCTTCTGCGTTTTCCTGCTCACACGAAAAGTGATCTAGTAAAATTGATGGAGGAAGTAAAGGCTGCCCACATGAATTACGCTGCAATGCTACCCACTGAACAGGGGGACAATGAGAATACTTGGCTTCAGTCAGTGCGTGATCTGTATGGCGAGGCCAGTAATAAAGTTTGCATAATTTTGGAGCACCACACCAAGAGTACAGTCACAAAGCCTAAAGATGAGAAGAAAGGATTGCCAATTTTTGAAGGTGATATAAGATTATTTTCAAGGTTCAAGACAGACTTCACAAAGTTCATCTTGCCTGAGGCGACTAAGGATCAAGCAGCTTTTGTGTTGCGAAAATCGCTGGGAGTGAAACCGCTTCAAGTTATTGGCGCAGTGGATGACGATATTCAGGAAATCTGGAGGAGACTGGACGAACGATATGGCGACCCAATTAAATTGGCAGATGTCATCATGCATGACTTTGAAAGTATCGATACATTAAAGGACGGAGAGGACCAAAGGTTTGTCGATCTGGTGGATATTGTTGAAAGAGGTTATAATGATCTGGGAAGCTGGGAATGGAAAGGGAAATGTCCAACACCAGAGTCGTTGGCGATATCGAAAAGAAGCTACCACCTACAATTCGAAGGGAGTGGTCGAGATCATTGTATGATGAGAAAACTGTTGTAGACCGTTCCAATAGATTTCCTGCACTCCTTCGGTTTCTAGTGAGGGAAAAAAAAGTGTTGAATACGAAGCATCAGGAGTGAGAACAGGTGCAAAAAGTAAGCAGTCTCCACACCTTACCATCAATGCCGCAGAGGTAAAGCAGAGTGCTGACGTTTCGAGACAAGGGAGCAACAAAATTTGTCTTATTCACGACGGAGGCCAGCACAACACATCTGAATGTCGGATTTACCTGGCAAAGTCGCTGGCAGAAAAAACGAAGCTGGCAAGAGAAAAGGGCGCCTGTTTTGGTTGTCTATCAAAGGGTCATCGGGTAGCTGAGTGCTGAAAGAAATGACAATTTGGTGTATTCAGTTGCACGCGACTTCATCACTCAACTTTGCATGATGGTACTCTTGGAAACTCCAACATCATCCAGCCTGAAACCACAATTAACACCCATACTGTAGCTACTCCAAAGCAAACTGGAATCTGTCTCTTGCAGTTAATGAAAGTAAGGGTATGAGCTAAACACATGAACGTCCTCTTTGATGGCTGCGCCACATCGTCCCTTATCACCAACAAATCGGCAAGGGCTGCAGGATTAAAAGAAGACCCCATAACAATTGCCATCACTAAAGTTGGCGGAACGACGGAGGAAGTCGATAGCTTCCGTTATCTTGTACCTCTAGTAGATAAGCAAGGGTTTATTGTAAATGTATATGCATATGGAATCGAGCAGATCACGTCCAATATAGAACACATAGCAGTCCAGCATGTAGTGGGCTTGTTCAGCGGCATCAAAGTCGAAGAGATAGAACGACCAACCGGCCATGTCGACTTGCTCATGGGGTACGAGTACGCCGGGTATCTCCCGACAAGGCTACAAGCAGTTGACATCATGTGACAACATGTAATTTGAACTCTTTCTTCATGATAGAAGGTATGGGTGTTCAGTGCAACCCACAGTCGTTGTCGTTGTGGTAGATGCCCGGTGGGAGCCAAGGAGTATACATTGAAAGAGGAAAGAGAGTTGCCGCTAATAGAGAAAAACCTTACATTCTGTGGTTCATATTGGAAAAAGAGTATCCCTGGATTAGAGACCCATTCGAGTTACCAGACAACCGAAACGGTGTACTGGCTGCCCTAAGTCCCTAGAACACAGGTTGAGAAAGGACCCAACGAAAGCTGATGCATATGACGCTCAAATACGAGATATGCTAGAGCGAAATGTTGCAAGGGAAATTGGAAAAAGGGAGTTGGATTGCTATGATGGGCCTATATACTACATTGCACACCATGCGGTAATGAAGCCTGACAGCAGTAGCACACCCATGCGAATCGTATTTAATAGTAGCGCATCTTATCAAGGACATATCCTTAACAATTACTGGGCTAAGGGCCCAGACATTGTAAACGCTCTTTTAGGAGTGCTAATTCGATTTAGGGAAAACTCAGTAGCACTTGTGGCAGACATCCGTAAAATGTACCACTGCATCAGCACCACAGTATGAGATCAACACTATCACCGATTCCTATGGCGAAATATGAATGTCACACAAAAACCTAAGACCTTTTGCATGACTGTGGTTAACATGGGTGATCGGCCCTCTGCTACAATAGCTACAGTAGCTTTGAGGAAAACGGCCGAACGAGGGAAGGATAAATTATATAAAGCTGCCGACACAATCCTGCGCAATGTTTATGTTGATAATATACTGGAGTCTGTTGAGTCAAGAGAAGCTGCGTTGCGTCTTTCGCAGGACATCGACAAGTTAATCGCACCAAGAAACTTTGCAGTCAAGAAGTGGGTAATCTCATGAAATGGTGGCGAAATCACAGACAAGGAGTTGATTGCGAAGGGTACCGAGAAAGTCCTAGGAATCGCATGGGACTCATATGAAGATGTATTCAAATTCACTACAAAGTTGAAAGCGCCAGTGGTTCTCACAAAAAGTTATTGTTTAAGCAGTATTAATGGCATCTATGACCCATTAGGTTTGATCTCGCCGTTCACGGTGAAAGGGAAAATACTCCTCCGGAAGATATGGGGTGAGAAGTTGGGATGGGACGACACCCTACCAGATGCAATGAGAGAACAGTGGTTTCAGTTCTTCAATGAATTAACCGATATTGCCAGCATTTGCTTCCCCAGATGTATTAAACCAGAGGATGCAGAACCAAACACAAGGCCGACGCTCGTGGTTTTCTCAGATGGGTCTGAACAGGCATTTGGCGCGGTTGCATATGCCAGGTACCTACTCAAGGACAGTAGATATGCTTGTCGACTAATTGCTAGCAAGAACAGGGTAGCCCCATTACAGATCATCAGTATTGTGAGATTGGAGCTGAGCGGAGCAGTACTTAATAAGCGCTTGACATGTTACATTAAGAAAGAGATGAGGTTATCTTTCGAGAGGGAATACCATATAATTGATAGTGAGATAGTCAGAGCAATGATTCAGAAGCAAAGCTACGGCTTTCAGACTTTTGCATTTACAAGGATTGGGGAGATACAGTCCGCAACTAACCCTCAAGACTGGTGGTGGTGCAAGGGTGAACTGAATGTGGGTGATCTCATTACCAGGGGCGAACGACCTTCTGAACTCAGCGTTGACAGCACCTGACAGCTTGGACCAGATTTTCTGCGAGATCCAGTGGAGCAATGGCCAATACAGCAGAGCTGTTCTGAGAACAACCTCCCAGAGAGAGTCAAAGTTGTGATGATTGCCGATGCCATAGAAGTCGATAGACTAGCCGACAGGATCAATATCGAACGATATAGTAGCTACACTAGACTCCTGCAGGCACAGCAACAGTGATGAACATTTACAAAAGGAAAACCTTCTCTGGTGGTGTAGCTACACCAACAGCAAAGGAAATTAACGATGCGGAGTTGTTCTGGATTATTGAATGTCAGAAACCCATAATGGATAAACTCTTGAATGACAAAAAACGATTCGATGACCAGTATGCTAAATTATCTCCAAGAGTTCGAGACGATGGTGTCATTGTGGTGGGAGCTCGGGCCCAAAGACACGTTAATTTCAGTTACAACAACCAGGAAGTGCCGCTATTGCCAGCACACCATAGATTTTCGAAGTTATACGTTACGCATGCGCACAAAAGGAGTCATTGTGGAGTACAGTCAACTGTGGCCCGGGTTCGTTTGAGATACTGGATACTAAATCTACAGAGAGTGGCTAAGAGTGTTAGACATCATTGCGTACCATGCAAGAAAAGAGAAAGAGCGGGTGCCGAACTTGAAGCGTCGTCGCCACCCAAGGTAATGCTCGTGAACGGCTCCGAAAGGTACGTGATGGTCATGCCAGAAACCACCGTCAACGACGGTAACAGGAGGAACCTGTCCGAACTGACGGCGAACTTCAAGAACTACAACGTGATCGGCTGCAATCCGCTGCAACGCGGACAATCCAGAGGGCCGAGCTTCGACAAAGTGACGAGCGTTCCCTGGAACGAGATCCGCGTGACAGATCTGGACGTGCTGACGGACGGGACGATCCGCATGTCGGACGTGATGGAACGCAGCGGGTACTTCAAACCGGAGACGTACGACCCCTCTCGGTACAGACGCATGTTCTCGGACACCCCCGCCCTGCACCGCATCATGGACCGCATGGAGCAGGCGGAATTCGACGCCGACTGCATCTCCAGGCAGAATCTCGGTCGCAGATCCTGTCTCTTCAGACCCAGTCGCAAGGTGTTCTACAATCCGAGGAAGAAGTTCTTTTCGGCGATCGCCTACGGACACAGCGAACTTCCCGAACCGCCCGTCGACAACGGCGACGTGATTGCTGGCATGACGATGATGGCCAGGTGTCTGATGTCCGAACATTCGTTCGATCAATTGTACGAGTGCGCCTTCTGATACCTTCGCGGCAGCTTGGCTTTGAAGTGGACCGCCGAAACCTGCGAGATGTACGCGAGAGTGGAGAACGGAGACGAGGCGCTCGCGAACCTGATCGCCGACGTGCGCAACAACGGCGGATTGACGCACTTCGTCAGATACCGTCATCTTTCCGCGATAAAGGAAAATTTGGAGAGGCAGATGGCCCGAGATGACCAACGAGACAAACTGAACGCGGAGACGGCCGAAGCGCTCGAGAGCATACTGTCCCTCGTCGACCTGATAATCGAGAAGTACAAGTCGCTGACCAGAACGAACGCCAACTCCACGCACTCGTGGCTGTTCACGAACGCGGGAAAAGCGTCATTCCGCGGAGAACCGGACGGTGCGAACAGGGAGTTCGAGATAAGGGAGATCGTCTTCGATCGCATCGTGCTCCGGCTTCTGTCTCCTAGAATATTCGCGGTGACGGGCGGAAATCGGGGATGGCGGCCCACTGTACGCGAGGAGGCCGTTACATTCTGCCAGTCCCTTACCGACCACACGAACGCGAAATGCAATCTGGTTCGCAACGAAGACAAAGTGCTCACGTTCGTGTCGACGACGTCCCCGAGCGCCGACTGCCTTGGAAGGACGGTCGAAGACGTGACGAAGTACTTTCCGTACTACTTGTTCGCCGGTCCCAGAGGCGAACCGGAACCGTTCGTGAACAGAAATTACTCGTACAGAGCGGACAGGGTTTCCTCGCTGCCGGTATCGAAAGGCGTCGGAGTCTTCACGCTGCTTTTCCTGTCCATGCTGCAGAATCCGACGACGACCCGGGTGCTGGTGAGAGAGGGAGTGTACGTCAACACGGCGTTCCTCCTGTTCCGGACCGTGGAGCAGCGGACGTGCAGCGTCGTGATGGCCAAGTCGGGAGCCAACAACCGCTATCTCTTCCTGGGCAACGGAAAGTTGGACGCGATCGAGACGAACGCGTCGTCCTACAAGACGATCTGGCGCATCGAGATCACCTACGTGGACACCAGCCCGATGGACAACACGAGGGCGCAGCACTACGTCGCCGGGTTGGGATACGTCAGAGGCATGGGATGCACAATCATGAATCCCTCGCAGCAGCACCAGCGACAGGGACACAGGGATTTCGTGGCTGTGCCTCTGCCGGCGTGCTTCGATCCCGAGGCGCAGGAGTTGATGATCGTGAACGGCAGGGTGTCCGTCGCCGACGGCAACTCCAACCAGTCCCTAGATCAGCTGAACGAGATCACCGAGAAGTTCACGACGAATCCGTACGCGACGATTGGAGCTTCGGAGGCGCCCTCTCTGGATGACAGACAACGCGGGCGGAGCCAGCGGCGTGCACAGAACGTACCTCCTGAGCAGACAGCCGGTAGAACAGTACAATTCGGACCTGGACCAGTTCTACAAGCCGGTGTTCAGCCACAATCTTAAAGAGGAATCTAACGTCGGCATACAGGGTAGACAGTACCATGACAGCAGCCAGTCCGAACCTTGCGCATTCAAGAGCGTCAACAAAGGATTCTACGGGGAACACGAACACAGCTCGTCGGCGTTCCGCAACCTCCTTGACGTGTCCTCGTGCAGAACCGATCAGGGAATGCTTCTCGTCGATCCGGCAACCTGTCTTCCGACGGGACGGGGAACCGACGATCAGTACATCAGAACCGGATTGAGAAAAAGATATCCTCCTTACTGATAATTTAAAACAAAAAGTGAAGGGGCCAAAGTGTTGTGAAGAAAAAAAATATTCAAAGAATTTTGGAAAATAAAGTCAGAAAAAAAAACCAATCTTGCCTGTGTCTCGTGTCTTACTTTTTGTAACCCTTGATGAACAAGAAATCCTCCTCCTTGCATTCGTCCACCCATTCGGCGTACACGTTGTCGCCCAAACACTTGACGATTACCAAGGCGGCAGGGCGAGCTGACAGTGAGAAAGTGTTTGCCAAAAACAGCGCTCCCAGCTGAGCCTGGATTTTGGCTTTATCCAGCAGACAGGGTCGAAATGCGGTTCCACTTTTGCGAGGAGCGGACTCGTGCTCCTGCATGATCTGCGGCATGGTCATTGACGTGGATTTGAATTCCACGACTACCGGCCGACACGTCGAACGTTCCTTCGTGATGAGATCGACGACCGCGACGCTGGCGTCGGGACCACCTCCTTCGCGTTCGTCAAGGGGTGTTGGGCGGACACGAAAGTCAGGTCCAAATCATGGAGCATTCGATTGACATCGGGATCTTTTATCGCGGACACGGCGACGTCCATCGCCCGACCAACCTTGAGAGCTTTATCGCTGGAAAGAGCCGCCGAACCCACTATTCTCGCTCTTCTGATTTTCCACGCTTTGTTGTAGTACAGAAACGCATCTATCTGCTTCTTGACGGCCGTCAAGTTCTTGCCGTAAGCTTTGTAACTACGACCTACACCCCCCGTCATGGGAACCAGCCGATGTCGGAACATGATCTTATTTTTGTCTTCGTTTCTTTTCTAACATAACATGAAAAAAAAATATTTACGATAATACGCCAACACTTACTCCCCATATCGGGTGTTCGCCGATCGCAGCTAAGTGTATTTGTGTATTTCCGGACGCGATGTCTGCATCGGAGAATTAAAAAAAATATAAGAAAGATGACATTAGGCACCAACGACGGCAACCTCCGATCCTTCGGAAAAGCGTTCGCCGACATACCCAAAGCAGTTGGACGATGCTCTGCACGACGTGTACTCCCTCAAAGGCGTGCGAGCGTGGCACGATCACTTCGCCCTGCACCTGCAGAAACACTTCTATCTGATGGGGGCGCTCATCTCCGCGGTGTTCGTCGTGAACGAGAGCGACAGGGTTGGCAGGCACCTAGGAAAGATAGACTTCGAATTCGTCACCCGTCCGCTGTTGTACGCGGTCGGCGTGGACGTGTTCACCATAATCGTCAACTTCCTGTACCTGATGACGAGAGCGGCGGTCGAGAAGCATCTGTCCAGGTTCAAGGAACCGGCGGTGTGGGAACGCATGCTGCTGCACGTGCTGCCGGTCGCGGCGGCCGTCATGCTGGGTCTTCTGGCTTACAGCATCCCGTACTGCTTTTTGACGACCAAGTACGTTGACACGGCATTCTGCAGCTCGTCGTTCACTCCGACGGTGAACCGCGTCATCCTCGTCCTCGCCATCGTCGCCGCCGTTTGCCACATGATATACGGGGTATACCATCACTGGTGTTCGACCAGCACCGTCCACGTGGACACGGGCAGGTTGATGGACGCCAACGACGATCGCGGTACGAGAAGAGGGCAGTCTTTCAGACGATGATTGCGATCGGTCTATATTTGGTATTAAAGAGAGATAGAGAGAACTTAGAAAAAAAATAGGAACTGGGAAATGTCGTACCGAAAAAGATTTCTCGGTCCCTCGACAAGACACCCGTCGGATCGGTCGAATCGGTCTCGTTTCATCGACGACAGAGTCAACCGTCCGATGATCGGAGGATACAGGCCGTGCTATCCGAAGCTCAGCGACAAACACCTGAAGGTGTACGTGGTTTCGAACGAACAGAGACCCGAAATTCCTGTGCTCGAGGGAAAGGCCGAAGGTCGGGAGCCGACGTCCCTTCGCGAATTTCGAACGACGGTGCTCGACTGGGTGCTGGCCAAGGACTGCATCACCGTCTCCCAGATAGTCGATATGGCGGACAACCGACCGATCGGAGCCGGTTTGGCGGCCACCCTGTTCGAGCTGAAATCGA